CCCCAAAACCCCAAAACCCCAAAACCCCAAAACCCCAAGGGTAATAGATAACAGTAATTGAGGCGAATCTATTGAATGATACAGCAAACTAACTAAATAATTAAATAAAATATAAATGCTTAATTTGTTTGGCTACCAGATGTCTCGCGGCAGCGGATTCAATAGAGCTCTCATCATGAACAAAGACTTGCCCATGAGGCGTCTTAAGCTTCATGAGTACTAGGCGGGCAAGTTGCTTCACAAGTACAGAGTTCCCATCCCCCTCGGAGGTGTCGCCCTCAATAGTAAGGAGGCTTTATTGGTAGCTAGATAATTCGGTCAGCAAAGACCGATGGAATATGTCGTCAAGGCTCAGGTTCTCGGTGGTGGCAGAGGTCTTGGTCATTTCAGAGAAAACAACTTCTAGGGAGGAGTGCATCTTGTGAAGACACCAGAGTAAGTTGCTGAAATAGCTGAGAAAATGTGCGGAAAGACCCTCGTTACTAAATAATCTGGAGAGGCAGGATTACCATGCAACTTAGTATATATAGTGGAAAAGCTCTCCATTAGCAAAGAGTACTATCTCAGTCTTACTCTCGACAGAAAAGCCGGAAAGCCAGTTTTCATTTATAGCAAAGCAGGTGGTATGAATATTGAAGATGTCGCTCATAACACTCCAGATCAAATTTTCAAGATTCATGTTGATATAAATCAAGGATTAAACATTGATGATTTACTGTAAGCAGCTAAAAATCTCGATTTAGAGGATTACAAGTCACAAGTTGTGTTCTTGTTCAAGCATTTATATGACTGCTTCATTGAGAAGGATGCTGACATGATTGAAATCAACCCACTTGCTCTTTTAGCTGACGGAACCATAGTTGCAGCTGATTCTAAGGTTACAATAGACGACAATGCCCTTTTCAGGTAAAAGGATTTAAAGGCCGAAGAGGATCTCAGTCAATAAAACTATAAGGAGAGAATTGCCAAGTCCTTTGATTTGAATTACATTTACATTGGAGGTAACATTGGATGCTTGGTAAATGGTGCTGGTCTTGCCATGGCTACAATGGATATTATTAAGCATTATGGAGGTAATCCAGCTAACTTCTTAGATGTTGGTGGCAGTGCCGAAGGTGAACAAATGGTAGAGGCCATCAAGCTATTGAACAATGATCCTGAAGTGGATTCTATCTTTATCAATATATTCGGAGGTATCCTCAGATGCGATAACCTCGCTCAGTCCATAATTAACGCTGCCGAATAAATTTCACTGACAAAGCCAATTGTCCTAAGGCTAAAAGGAACGAACTCTAAGATTGCCAGAGAGATGATTAAGCCAAGAGAAAAGGAGCTCGGGATTTTCTTTGATGACGACTTCGACAGTGCTGCCAGATTAGTCGTTGATGTCGCTCAAAAGAGATCACAGTCCGAAAAATGAAAATAAGGCCAGGTGTATAGGGAGAGATATCTAAATGCTTTCAAATTATCCCAGGAGATCAGTGGTTTCCTTTTTCTTATTTAAAAAGATTTATATTCATTATATCTATTTATCTGTATCTTTCTGATTCCTTTAAAGTTTGATTTTTGGGGTTTTGGGGTTTTGGGGTTTTGGGGTTTTGGGG